ACGGGCCGCGCAGGGCAGTCCATTTGGCAGGATGCTGCCGAAGCCGTGCTTAATCCAAAAACGAAAATTGCAGCCTTGTTAAGGCGTTCGCTTTCCCCGTGAAGTCCCCAGCCGTCTCTGATCGGGCAATGCGAGCATTTTGGGGAGTGTTGGGGTTGCACCCGTGGCAGCAGTGGGGCCGATCTCTGGCCCTTCGCCGTGGGGGCTGAGCTGTTCCGGCATGACGGGGTCCTTCCTTCACGGCAGGCCTTCTGCTCGGCCTTCTGCGGGCGTGAAGAGCATCTGCGGACGGTCCCTCCTTCCAGATGCGGTGTGTGCTGGCCCCTGGAAGAATCAGGAGGAAACGAGGCTCGCAGAGGGGCTGGGGACAGCCATCCCTGCACGCACGGAGAGGAGAGAAGCCAAGGCCGGCTCCGCAGGGGGTCAGGCAATGCCTCACAGGTGGGCTTCAGCTAAGGGGGCTGTGCAGGTTGGATGCAAACACATTTAATCGGAGGAGGGCATCTAGTCCATGCGGCCTGACGCCGTGTTTGGTCCCACAAGGCTCTTTGCAGCTCTTGGTCTGCACTTTTCCTCTCCCGGCTGCTTCGTAATGCTCGCCCTTCAAATGCCACGGGCTAGTTTGCTTTGCCAGCTTTCTGGCACATTAACAAAGACTTCTCTCCATGCCGTGAAAATCTTAATCTACAGATTTCTGCAGATGAAGGGCAACATGTTAAACATACAAGGCGGTTGTCCTCTCTGGACAGTTGGCTACCCTGGGGTGAGAGATGTGAGGCCCATTCTGGACTCGTGAGTGGCAGCGAAACCTCTGGCTGCGGCAGTGGACGAGATCTGGGGCCCAAGCCGGTGGAGCCTGGTCAGCCGCGTTCCCTGGAGGGCCCATTACGGCAAGATTTGGGGTGTGTCTGGCCCAAGAGCATTGCCAGCAAATTCCACAGTCAGACCAAACACTGCTTTCCCCTCTTGCTCTGCCACGGAGTGAGGCCAGCTGGCTGGACTAGGTTGGGGGCTCCGACCCCGAATTATTTCTTCAGCTCCAGCTTTTCCAAAGCCCCTAAGATTTCTTTTTCCCCCTCCATCTCCCAAAGGCTTTGCAGGTTTTGACAGACAAATGAAAGGAACAACATCATGATGTATCCACAAAGTGGAGGCTCAAAAGAAAAGAGGCAAAATACCAGCTGCCAAAATGTAGAACTCCAATTATTCCGTGACTAAATAATCCAGTTGGAAGAAAGGCAATTAGAAGAAAGTATTAAGAAATAAAAGGCCTTTGAATGATTGAATGAAGACCCCTCCACCACCACACACACACAAACTTTATTAGTATACATCAGAAGGCTCTCCAAACAAATGCTATATTTATACATTTATTTTGAAGTTGAGATGGCCTGGGCCCTAGGGGAAAGAAAATTGTTCTTGCTGACAGGCAGGGTATGACTGTCTGGAATGCAAATCTTGTGATAAATAAGATTATGACCTGAAAAGAATAGTAGCTGAAGGAGAATATCTCAGCGAAATCCATTTTTCCTCTTTTTATGAAGTGTAAACATTGTGGAAAGTTCTCGGAATGGCGCATGACAATGGAGGCCTATGCCTGTCTACTCAAGGTAAGCCTTGTTACGTTCAGTGAAGCTCATCCCAAGATGAGTGGACTGTAATCTTACTCAAATTATAGTCTCCAAAACAGAGAAGACAGATCTGGAGAGAAACCAGTTGGAAGGAAGCCAACTCTCCGTGCAGCCCTGGACAAACCGGCTCCATCTGTGCAGCACAATTTCCAGGTAAATTCGCCTAGGAAATAAACCCCACTATTGCTTCACTTACCGGCAGAAAATGTGCTTTCTTCATCTTGCAACGTTTGCAAGATGAAGAGTGGGGAGGGAAGGACGGTCAGTGGCAAGAAGCACCCGCAGGGTTGCATGTCCAACAGAATTTGTCTGAGCAGGTCCTTTTAAGTCTTGAATTCATTGCTGCTGTATATCCTCGCAAAGGAAATATGTAGCTGCACAAAGATTTCCAAGGTGCTCGATGCAGCGCAGAGGCCCAGTGATCAATCAAAGAACGATGAGAACATTCACCGGAGAGTCGCTCTTCTATGACTGAGCCGTGTCCAGCTGCCCAGGGGATGCAGGGCAGGTGTGGCCGGTGGCCACGACGGGAGGACGTGCTCTCACTCCTCCTGCCCCAGTGCACAGGGGGTGAAAATCAAGACAGGCACTGGTTGCCATCTGCTCTTGCACCCAGAGCCTCGCTTTTTGTTTCCTATCTGATGTAGAACGTTTGGATTTTCTTTAGTCGCTAAGTCATGTCTGACCCATCGCGACCCAATGGACAACACTCCTCCAGGCCCTCCTGTCCTCCACCATCTCCCGGAGTCCACCCAAGCTCAGGCCGACGGCTTCAGTGACTCCATCCAGCCACCTCATCCTCTGCCGTCCCCTTCTTCTTTTGCCCTCAATTGTTCCAGCATCAGGCTCTTCTCCAGGGAGTCCTTCCTTCTCATCAGGTGGCCAAAGTATTTGAGTTTCATCTTCAGGATCTGGCCTTCTAAGGAGCACTCAAGGATGATCTCCTCTAGGACTGACCAGTTTGATTGCCTTGCGGTCCAAGGGACTCGCAGGAGTCTCCTCCAGCACCACAATTCAAGGGCCTCAATTCTTCGGTGCTCAGCCTTCCTTATGGTCCAACTCTCACAGCCAAACATTACAACTGGGAAACCTATAGCTTCCCTTTCTTAATTAATCAAGAAAACCATTTCTTACACACAGAGAAACCCTTATCCTCAAACGATGACAGAAACTTGAGGCATTGTGGGTTTGTTTCTCCTGAAGCGATAAAAGTTGCCTACGGCAGAGCTCGCTGGGCTCCTTCATCACAGCCGCTCTCTCGCAGAGCGCTTGTCTGGAAGCAAACCGGCTGCGTTGCCTTTTGCCCTGTTTCAAAGGTGAGCTCCCGGTTGCTGCCTCCTTTCCCTTGGAAAGGCCGATCGCTCCCTTGGCATGAAGCGCAGCTCCTGGGCCGCCACAGTCGTTGCTTCTCGTCAGCGGTGCCGGAAACCTTATCGTGGCTGCAACCGGCCTTGTTTTCACTGAAGTGGGCTGAGGGGGAACGAGCCGTCGACATTCCGTGTTTCAGCACTAACAGCTAGCATTCATAAGCCACCTCGCTTTGGTAGGAACATGCTGTGCAAATTACATATCGTCCTCAATTATCTCGTTATTTAGACTCTCTTTCTGCAGTAGGTAATTCAAGCAGATTGCACCCTGCTCCGTTTCGGTTTTAATTTTTTAAATTGGAGGAAGGCAAAACACAATCAGAGAAAGGGGTTAGATTCTCGCTCCCAAAGCTGCAGTCTTATGTGAGAAAGTCATACTGAAGGAGAGGTAACTCTGAGCAGACATGAAGTGAACCATATTGTAATGAAGCAGCTTTTGGACAGTGTTTGCAAGGACCCTTGGAAACTTGTCCCTCATTTCAAAGCTTGCCCAAGAGGATTCCCGGGGAAAAGAGCTTGTGGTCTTCTCCAGCAATGCCTATGGGGAAGGTTATGATGCTAGGCAGCCGTGGGAATCGCAACTCATCATGGCAAGACTTTATTCCATCAGAGCCCGGGCAGCGCAGGGCAGGGCACGTCCCCTCTGTTCCGGCCACGCTCCGTCAGCATCGCAACACTGGCCGTTGCAAAGAGGAAGCAAGCTGCGGTGTGGGGAGCAGCGATTTCCAAGGAGCGATTCCATTTTTGCAAAGGGCCAGCAGCTGGAGGCTTTCCTGGAAACGGATGCCGAGGCACCACCCCGTGGCCAGGAAGAGTTCTGAGCTCCAGGGCCAGGGGAAAAGCAAAGTCCTTGCTTCCTCATCCCCGGCTGGGGCGAGCAATCCAGACTGTGGAACATGGGAGTTCAGGAGCTTTCACTTTGTTTGGCTGTTTGTCTCCTATACGGACCAGGGTGTGTTCATTGATATTGTAACAAACTGCCTGGACATGCAAAAATATTTCTTCATCTATGTACCCTATAAAGAAAAAAATCATTTTTCTTTATAGGGTACACAGTACACAGCTGAATGAAATACAGCTAAATGTATATAACTGTATACACCTAAATGAAACACGTTCTCGGTTAAAAACAGCTTAGATTAACAGCCCCGATGTGAGTTTTCTGTGATGCTTCAGGAGATTAAAGCAAGGAGAACAGGCATATAGGAACACACAAAATACAGGCTATGGTTTTTCAGCAGTTTTTTTTAATATTAATTACATTCTTTACAATATGCCACTTGTCAGCTGCAGCTTTTAGCAGGTGGAAGTTGCCGGTAGAGAAAGGGGGATACAGCACTGCTCAGCCAGGGGTCTGAAACCATGATGGCACCCTCGTCCCCAGTTTCATTCACCGAGGCCATGCCTGGGGGTGTCGTTTCACGCCTCGCCGTGGACGTTTGAGCCAGGCTTCTTGAATTTAAGTCCCCTTAGCGGGAGATGCTGCCACAATGAGCCACATGCTTGCACGAAAGTCGTCTTCAGGGAAAGTCCGCGTCTGGGTTGAGCCATCATACCCCCAGAGGTGAGGGGGCCGACCCTCCCGTTGACCCTCCACAGAGGAATTCTCCCACGGAAGCTGCGGAGCTGCACGGAGATGAAAACGAAGAGCGGAGCTGGCCTTCCGACCCACCAAGCGACCGAGCGGGAGCCGGCGTGTGCAGCCGGATGCCTCTCACCTGTGGCAGGTGAGTCTCAGACCTAATGGCAATACAGCCGGCAGCCTGCACTGGGCTTCATTAACTCAGGTCACCAGCCGGTCTCAGGCAGACAAGTGCGGGAAAGAGCCCGGAGCTCTTGACGTCTCCCAGCCAACCACGGTGTTGCCAGCATTCAAAACCAGCTGAAAAGATTCAAGACTTTCCTTTCCAGAACGCAGCTGCAGCTTCTCCCTTGGCCACCAAACCGTGACGTCCGAGGCGCTGCGGTCCAGGTCGTCCGCTGCGGTCCAAGTCTCCGCGTCTCATAAGTGGTTGTTTTTGGACAGGTAGGCGATCAGCGCCACTGCCACCCCCACGTAGATGCCGGTGCCGATGGTGATGGCCAACACCGCCAGGAAGAGCGCCCGCCGCGAACTGGCGCTCGCATGGTGGAAGTCCCCTTTGGCGATGGCTTTGTTTGTCTGCCGGAGGAGAGACGCTGCCGTTAGTGAACCGGGACACGGCGCTTTTTATACTCTTGTAACACTATACGGTTTTTGTAATCCATACAGTTATAATATTGTACGTTATTATTATTATTATAACATTTCTATGCCGCCCCTTGCCGAAGCCTCGGGGCGGCTTACAACACAATACAATACAATACAAAAATAACAATATAAAATTAAAGTTAATAATATAAAATAAATAAAAAATATAAACGATATAAAAGAAGTTATAAAAGAAAAGTTATAAAAGAAAAGAAAAGAAAAGAAAAGAAAAGAAAAGAAAAGAAAAGAAGTCACCCTGGCCAGATAAATAAGTAAATATTGTTAACAATTAAAATGACATTTAAATAAAAATAAAATAAAATAAAAATAAAAATTATGGGGCTGATTTGTAGCGTGAGAAAGCACCGAGGAAGGGAAGGAGTGGGGTGCGACGGGTGGAGTTTGAGCGACTCCCAGAGCAGGAAATCCGAGATTAAATAAGAACATAAGGTTTCAAATTGGCATCAACCAACTGATGCGCCAAATAAGGGCTCGCTCTGTGGTTTTCCCACCTGATACCATTTGCTGCCCATCCCAGTCTCAGACGGAAGGGATGTTGTCGTTTCAGAAACAACTGGCAATATAATGCTCTGTTATGTGTGGATCCTGGTCTGGGTGGCTCAGGGCCTTCCCGTTACTTTGCGCTGCGGTTCCCAGAGTACCTGACTGTTGGCAGTGCCGGCTGGGCCTTATGGGAATTGTAGTCCAAAACATGGACAGCACTAGAATGCTTAGCTTTGGTTTAGCGGATCTGTATTTTTTTCATAAGCTTCTGGATGTGATTCCACAGCCCACTGTAACTTTGACAAATAGCTTTCAAAAATGAATATTTGATAAAGAATACATTTGCAAACTATAATAAGGATACATATTTGCAGGGCTTTTTTTGTCACAGTACCCACTGGAATGGCGTTCCGGCACCTTTTTTTCCAATGGATTTTACGAAGTGATTTTGAATCGCCTGTCAGCGTAGCAGGTCGGCAGCAAACATCGTTAACACAGTGGCTGCTTTTGTGTCCGTGCCGATCTGCCAGCGGCGACCATTATGTTTACGTATGCGTAGAGTGACAGGCTTTACACTAAAAATCTTTTTTAGTGTAAAAGTGTGACCCCAAGATGTGAGTTCCGGCACTTTTTTTTTTTTTTTTTTTTACAAAAAAAGCACTGCGTATTTGTCTTTACAAAACCAAGTTTTGCTGCAGGGCAGACTGGGCACAGATGCGGAACCTCTCCGGGTGTTTGTGCCAAAGGATCTTACTTCTAAAAACCCGTGTGGAATGAGTAGTTAAATGACCGGATGTCCTGTGTGAGCAGAAGCCCAGAGGAGATGCGCCCTCAGACTGACCCAACAGAACTCTGCGGCATAAAAACCTATTAAGAAAAACAAGATGGAATTGCAGCGAGCTGCTCTCTGGCTGCCGGCCGTCAGTTCCCCCGCATCCGGAAGATCAACCGTGCACCGGAGCAGCCGGCTCTTTAATGGCCTTTTGCAGCCGCTGGCTCCGTGCGTTGCAAGAGAAAACAGCGCAGAGCTGGGCAGTGCCTGGACGGCTCCGAGTCGCTCTGCCGTGCCTGACGGCCAGGCTGCGCCGGCCTCAGCGGCCGCACACAATCCTTCTAATCATCCCCCTTTGCTCTCCTGAAGGGCACCTCGGCAGCAATTACGGGGCCCGGCACTCCCCCTTCCAAAAAGCAATCCTACACCAGACTGTGGTTGGCACCAGGCTGACTGATGAGCAAATTTAACGCTGTCTTCGGGCTGAAATGTTTTCAGTAGCAAGCCAAGAGCTTTAATAAATAAAAGGCACGGCAAGCACCGCACGTCGGCAGAATTCTAAGTTGGGGATTGCCGGCTGGCCTGACAAGGGAAAAATTAAAGATAACGGTGCGGCTTAAAAGAGCGTGGATCCTGCTGCCCCGATTGTGCTGAACTCTGCTTATCATCTGATGTGCCATTAAGAGGATTCCCACCCCTTTGCATTTGCTCTGAAATTTTCTGCGGATTAAACATTTGCCTGAAATTTGGGGGAATCAGCCACCTTCAAAGGATCACATGTTGGAAGGGTATATTTTACAGACAATTGTTGATCTGCCCCTTTGAAAAATATACGATCCAGCTCTGAACTCAGAACTGTTTGCATCTGGGGAGGACCAGATGGGTGCTTTGGCTAATGGAAAACAGAAATGGAGACCAGCGAGGCTGTCTTTACAGTACCAACACTGGAAATCATGTTAGAGGTTCTGTCAAATTGTCTGTTGCCGGACACCCATTCATACCACCCCACTCAGAGGGCTGCCCAATTCCTTTCTGGATGCCTCCAGCATGGGAGAGCCCCCCACCTCCTCTCCAGGCAGCTGGTCCCACTGTCCCATTGCTCTGACCGTGAGGAAGCTCTTCCTGATGTCCAGCCTGAATCTGGGTTGCTGCAACTTGAACTGAGTATTCCATGTCCTGCCCTCTGGCATCAGCCAGATGAGATCTTGGCCTTCCTCTTTGTGACAGCCTTGGAGGCACTTCTAGAGGGATACCGTGTCCCCGCTCAGCCTTCTCTTCTCAAGGCTGGACTGGCCCAGCTCTCTCAGTCCCTCCTCACAGGGCAGTGTCCCCAAACCCTGGATCATTTGGTTGCCCTCCACTGGACCCTTTTCTAATTTACCTGCCTCTTTCTTAAATCTTGGTGCCCAGAACTGGACACGGGATTCCAGATGACAGAATCCTTTGCGGAACCTGCAGGCCGATGCCACTGCTGTGAGGGGCTCCTTGACCAGGACCCCATTCCATATATAAAAGCCACACATCCGGTTCGCGAGTTCTTGAATATTAAGAAAGAGCTAATCATAGGCAAGTAATGGCGACCTGTAGCTGGGAATGTTGATAACGGGTGTATTGCAACTTGTCCCGCCTTGCCAGATTAAAAGAATGTTTTTTTAATCTTTGTCCAAGGAAAGGAATGGAGAACCAGCACAGTATTTGCTCTGCAGCTCTCTGAGCAAAGCAGAGAAAAATGGAGGGAGAAAACCAGAGAAGCCGCACCCATTGACTCGGAAGAGCCCCTCATGCGGAGCCCACAGAGATGTGGGGTGTCCCATGAAGAGGGCAGGGGGGAGACTTAACCATTCGATTTCCAGCCATCCCAGTCCAGACCAGGGCATCCCACGCCTGCCCTCCCCACTGCCGAGAAGAAATCAAAGCCAGTTCAAACTCAACTTGCGGCTGCGGGATTCCCATCCAGACTCTGCAGCAGGAGATCAGGGCCCCAATCCAGACCGAGCCCTTTGCATTTCAGTTACGAAAGAAGCAATGCAGTTTGGTCCTTATTAGTCAGACATTTAAAACCCCCAGTGCCTTGATTCTTCATTCTATCCCATATCAACTGTATCAGCAGATGGGGAAAACCGCATGAAAGAGATTCTGTGATCTTTTGCAGGGGGCGGGAAGGGGGTGGCTTTGCAGGAAAGCCCTCTTGCGCTTCGTGTGAATGTATTCTGGGATCTGAAAACCAGTCTGGGAGAAACATGAGGTCGCATTCACTCATGCATCAGAAAGATGGGCATTGTTCATTCTGGCTCCCACCACGATTTGGGCATTATGCACGCGTGCCCACATCCAGTCTTACAGAGCGAGTCGGGTATTCCCCGTAAACGCAGTGGAGAAGACGCACGGGTGGGACGGCCAGGGGAGGACCGGAGCCGTCCAAGGAGAGGACAGCTGCCGCGCAGGTGCCTGCTGCAGGACGAAGGGGGACCCAAGGTCACCCCAGAACCCACATCCCGAGACCGGCCGGATCCAGTCTCTGGATGCCTTTGCCGCGCTCTCACCTTGCTGCAGAGGGGGAAGCGCAGGCCACACAAGACCGAGCTCAGCGAGTACTTTACCTCGTGTGACAGATAGAAGGCGGCGATCCCCAGCGGCCAGAAGCAACAGAGCATGGAGAAGACGCTGAGTCCCAGGTGGTCCCGGGGCGGCATCATGAGGAAGTGGTCCTCACTGTCCGTGTCGCTGGAATAGTCGCTCTGGAACGAGGAGAGGAAGGACAGATGGATGAGCGAGGCCGGCCCTTCCAGCTTCCACCAAGCGCCTCCTGCAGGGATTCTCCAGGTGTTGCTGGGCACAATTCTGCTGGTGGGGAGGGATGACAGGAACAGCCATCCGGTTGGAGGCACCTTCCCCGTTCCCCGTCACCGATCTTCAGAAGGTTAGCTCAGCGTCATGAACTACCCAGGTGAAGACGTCTTAAAAGCAAGCATGCTTGGCCCACCTGGTCACTGCGAAGGAGCAGTCGAGACCTCGGCCAAGGGAAGGCAGCATTTGGGGCTTGATCCCTGCGGAAGACTGCTTCCGTGCAGGGCTGCAAACCGCGAATGGAGCTCAGCCGGGCGGCCGAGTCAGAAGCCCGCTTGCTTGGAGTCAGAAGAATTAGAACGAGGGTATGACTGGAGGGAACTGGAACTGGGTGCGGAATTGAGGAGGCTCTGCTTCCCATCGTCCCCGGCAGGCTGCCGGCTCTGGATGCTTGAACTGTGGGGGCCAGAAAGCAGGACTTAGAGGAAGGCTTGGTTGCACTAAGACCGTTTTGCCAAGTCCAAAAGGGGAGGAAAGAAGCCCCGACCCCTGCCTGCTTGGCAAGAAGCCCAAAAGCAAAAGCAAGAAATCCACTGGGCAGGCATATTTTTCTGATCACTTAGCAATTCTACCACGCTGGAGGAAAATGCTGCTCGGGCTAAATCTGGCTTGCAGACCTGAGTTGCTTACTCCAGTTCTAAATTCTACAACAGCATCGATTCTCCAGGGAATGCGCTGACTGGTCCCAAGCCTAACAGGCGTGTCGCTGGGCAGCACTTGTGGGCGGGACAGCGCAACGTGCCAGTAGCACGAGGCAGCACCCAGCATCTTCCCCATGTGCAGGGAAGCCCGCTTTTGTTCCTCCACAACAGCCGCAGAGCTGCCTGCAGAGCAGAGGGCGCTGCAGAGGATCAAGATACTCCTGCCGTGCCCCCTGATCTGGCCGGGAGGAGAACGCGATGCGCGCTCTGGGCTGGGTCGGACTGGGTGCGATGGGAAATGCTCCGGTGAGATGGAGCCGCTTCTCTGAGCCTTCTCCGGAGGTTCCCCTGCGCTTTGGGGCCTGTTTTGGAAGACACGTGGGGGACTGCAGGAGAAAGGCGAGCGGCGGAATTACCTCGCTGCTGCAGTTGCTGAGAAACCCCTCGGCTTGCAACACGGGGACCCCGAGCAGCAGAGTCCCGATTCGGCACAAAGAAGGCGCATGCTACGCACGGGAGTCGGCAAAGAAGTCCCGCCCTGCCAGTGGCCCCCAGTGGGTCATGCTGGCTGGAGGGCTGTCGGGGGCTGCCGGTCACATGCAAATAGGCTTGTGCCATTAGGCTGGTCTTCCGGTTCTGCCCCGAGGAAGGCCTTTCGATCAGGCCACGCTAATCAGCTCATGCTAATCATTCCCTGGATTTGTGCTCCCTTTCCGCACTTTTGCTACGCATACTCTCTCTGTCTCTGCTATAGAGTTCTAAGGTAAAGTCCAAGCACCGTTTATCTTCTTGGTTCCCCTCTTCCGCTCCAGACCCCCATTTTTGAGAAGCTCCCTCTTTGGAAGGCAAACACAGGGGAGTCTGACCCCCTTGGCAGTCTTACACCTGGATGCTGCGAATCTGGCACCAGCGTGGCCAGGGAAGCGCAAGCGGTGGCTGAGAGCACCTGCGCTTGTGGCCGATTTCCCAGAGAAGAGGGAAGACGGCCACTCCTGCAGCCCAGGATTCCACACACACCCTGAAAAGATGCTGCAGGTCTCCACCCCCCTTCAAGCATGGCAAATGTGCAGCGATGCTCACTTTGCTCTCCCCATGCAGGGAGTGGCGACAGCTTTGAGAAGAAGGTGGTGTGGCAGGGACGGGACCCTGGCTGGAATGATCAGCCCCCCTGCTGGGGGAAGGCGGCTTCCCACCAGGCCACCCCCTTGGGCCATCTAGCCCAGTGCTGTCGACACCGGCCGGCAGCCGCTCTCCAGACTAAGTGGATTCTCTTGCCGTGCCCAGGAGAACAGCATCCCACGGGAATATGTCACGGGAACATGACCGCTCACCTTGACCGGGGCCCTGCTTAACGCCCAAATGCCAGGTCCTGGCATAACAGCAGCCTTCACAAGAACTGCTTGCACACCGAACCGACAAGCGAGGCAGCACTAGCGACTGCCCTGGCAGTGCGGAGAAACTAGTTTCAGTTAACATTTGACTGGAATGGCTCCAAAGTGCATCTCCTGGAAACAGATGCAGACTCAGGGTAGCTCGGACTTGGAAAGATGCGGGTTTCCAAGCTGAAGATGTGATTGGGACAACAAAGCCCAGCGTTCAAAAAATGCGTACGACCGGAGAATGCGCCGAAAATGATGCGTAAATTTAAAACAAGGCTGTGCACTGAATGGAAGAGGAGGCATACTTTGAATAACGAGCACAAAATGCACGCATTTTGAAAAACCCACACTGGGCTTTTCCATGAAGGAAAACGGATAAGCCTGAAGCCGGACAGGGACATGACTCAGAAATGAAGTCTGCGGTGGAAATCGCAGACCCGCAATGAGCTCGGGGTGTGCCAGTTTACACACCTGGCAACACTGCACACAATGGCTTGTACGGAAGTGTTTGCAGGTGCCGTTGTGTGTACACAAAGGATGCCCAGATGCTAACACTGATTCTGGATATCCAGAGCAAGTCAGTTTGGCACTGCTCACAGTGACTCAGTTTGCAGTGACACAACACGACAAGCCATTGTGGGTAACTTGCCACCATGGGTGGTCGTGTTGTCCAAACTCAGACCACCTACTGCAGGACGGCTTGTGTGGGGGCAATAAACCACCCTGACAAGCCATGGCTTGTTCTTGGGGTTGTTGTGCCTATGATGGATTGTGGTGTGCGCTGGACTTGGCACAGCACTTCTCGTCATTCTTATTGCGCTTCTACACTGCTCACAGTCAAAGCGGCAGTTGTACCATCACACACTCAGGTCACCCCTCTGGGCTCTCACCAGGTCGTTCTGCCGCCATAGCGGAGACTACGACTTGAGCCCGAGGTTTGTGCCAGCAGCTTTCTTCGTCTCCGGAGAGACGCGGCTGGAGCCCAAGGCCAAGCGCCTTGCCAAGAGTGGGAGGCTGTCCGGCCAGTCGTGCGGAGAAGTGCACCAGCGAATGCTGGGAACGGGCGTGCGACAGGACGTGCCGCGCGGCCCCTTGGGGAGGCCTGGAACAGAAGCTCCGATGGGAGTGGGGAGGCGGCGGGCGCTGGGCCGGCAGTGGCCACGCCACATACAGTGCGCCGGGTGGGCCGCACACGCTGCCACCGAAAAGCTGCTCTGCGTGAGCCACCAGCCGCCAGCAGACAGGTGACCGCGGCCGGGAGAAGCCGTGTCTCAGCTCCAGAGGGCGAGTCAAGTCACGCGGCTGCCAAGTAAGCGCTGGAGAGACCGGCCAAAGAACAGCGCCGGGACATTGCCTTCCTTTTAAAGGATTTGAAATGGAGCCATCAGTGACCGCACTGCTCTTCTTCCTCCCATTTCTTAATTAAGGCCTTTATCAGGCTGATTGACTGGCGGGCACAATGAAAACAGCAAAATAATTTCCATTAACTGACTGCCTTAAATCAATTAAGCCAGCAGATTAATTGAGAAGGCGTTCAAGTTTCCCACTATCGGTTAGTGATTCTTGGTCAAGGAGGGAGGAGTCCGTATGGTGACCGCAGAGAATCGACGGCCCTCCAGCCGTTGCAGGACTACAAACCGCAGTATCCCTGGCCATGGGTCATTTGGGCAGGGGATGATGGGATAGGGAGTCCAAGAATAACTGGGGGGGGTCACACATTTCCCCCCGCAGCCTTTATTGACCTTTCACTGCACTTCACTTCTTGATTTTGCACGCACATTGGTGTGATAAAGGAATACCTAATTTTAACGCTGTATGTTTTTAACATACTGGCTGTGAGGTGTTCTTTCCTTTGAGGTGGCAGTGGAGACGTCTTCTGACAAGTGCAAATTTCCTTATCCATTAACAAAACAGCGAGGCGGGGCAGGAACTCTCGGTGCCTCCCCTGCCCTGCCTCTTCCTTTGCCCCTGGGGCAGGAAGCAGCGAGTGGCTGTGAAGAAACACTCTCCATTCGAATGGGGGACGGGACGTTCTCTCCCTCCGGGGGTCAGGGCCGTGTGGGGCCGGAAATGCCCAAAGGCTGCTGAGACACAGTCACGTTTGCATGTACTGATATTTTGCAACTGGCTCCCCTCTTGGCCCTGAACTTTCTCCTGCAGGCATTGCTGGCGCTGTTTGGAAGAGAGACGCTCCTTGGGGAAGCATCCGCCTCCGAGACATTTCACTGCTAGGTCTCTGCCAGAAAACGTGTGTTTGATCGATGATCGTGGAGATGACGGAGCACCTGGGCAAGAACAGTAATTTCTACGCAACGGTTGTTGCTTTACATAAATCAGGGGCAGCATCCAAGTTGTTGTTGCTGGACTGCAGTACCCATCTGCCCCAGCCAGCATCGCCAGGGCTGAAGGAAGAAGGGAGCGCAATCTGAAAAGAACTGGAGGACTGCAGTTCCCATTCCAAAGCTATTATGTAAACGCACTTTGTACAAAGACCCAGGGAAGGTCTAGCCAATTGGCTGGAACTATGATCCAGTCAAATTTAAGTGCATATGAACCTATTCAGACGACAGAAAAACGTCCTATGACTTTTGTCTAAACGTGCCTAGGATAGCGCCTGTAACGTCTTGTGGATTTCATGAGCTTAACTCTTTCCCACATACATCAGCTCGCCTAATTCCCACCTTCCCAAGAGGATGGTCAAAGAAGACAGCTTTCCCTTCCAAGAAGCAAACACATCAATAAATGGACAAAATCTCAACTGCCTTTCTGGAGAGAGTTCATAACAGAGAAACCGGGGCAACAAGCCATTAATCTTCGAGGGCTCATTCGCACATGTGAGTGGATTGATGGACTAATTAACCCAGGGTGGCCTTGGATGTATGGACGGGCCTCCTGATTCACGGTGAACTGCTAGGAACATACAATTACCACGGAAAGCAGCTTTACTGTTAACCCAGAATGTTTGATACTGTACAAGAATAAGGAACTAGCTCTTGAGGGGAAGAAAGCAAGCCCATGAGATGCTTTCTCTGCATGTAGGAAATTTTGTTACATCTCCACCCTGGGAGTGCCGGATTGATGTTGTCACACCTGGCACAGGAAGAGAGAGTCCAACAGGAAAGATGTGAGCCCAAGGCCACGACTCACACAGGGAAGCGATGGGCAGCCTCTTCTGTGGGCAGGTGCTTCAGACTGCCACGGTTGTTGCCACAAGCCACTGAGCCATCTCCAACTGGATGCATGAGATGAAAGCCCTCCAAAATGCCCCGCCTTGTGGCACCCTAAAACATGAGGAGGGGACCCCCGGGACTCGCAGGAAGAGAGCTTCCCTGACCTCAAACTCCTGCAAGTTGTCCTCTTCCTCCACATTGTACGGGGCGTGGATCTTGATCTCCTCCGTGGACAGGCTGACAAATTTGCCGTCGTAGTACTCCAGGCTGTCCCTGGGGGCTGCCCGGTCCTCGATGAAGGTCGTCTCGCAGCACTCGGTGCTCACACTGTCCCCGCAGGACCGCAGCATGCGCTCCGAGTAGAGGATGAGGTCCGGGTGATAGCAGGGCTCCACTGCCTGCGGGAGCGCACTGGGGTCCAGCAGCTGCTGAACCGGCTCCTTCCTGGCGCAGCTCGGGGAGCAGAGCGTCCCCGCCGGCCGGCTCGGGTACTGAGGCGCCGCGTACACGGAGAGCAGCCCTTCCCTGCCCTCCGCCACCAGGTTCCTCGTGTTGATCAGCCCGTTCCTCTTCTTGGCCGCCCCAGCCTTGCCCTGCTTAAGGACGCTCCTCTGCTCCACCAAGCCGTCCATCCCGCTCTCCCTGGGAGGATCACCGCCGAGGATTAACGGCTCCCATTTTCCTGAGGTGGGGAGGGAAAAGGTGCCAATTAGCAGGAGAGAAGCGGGTAAAAGCCCTCGCGCAAGAGGTCCAGCCACAGGCCTCCCAAAACGCTTTTGCGGGGCATTTCCCCCTCCTTAATCAATTGGAGAAAGCCCCGAAATGATTTCGACACCGAGAATGCCTTGAGATCATTCGAGGGACCAGTGGCTAAGAGACAGGTGACCTTTGGTCCAAATTCTCCCTCTCCTACATGCTTACGAGGCAACCTTTGGCAGACAATTATTCTTTTAGACTTCTTCCAGGTAGGTCACTAGCAAGGAACCATTACTCAGATAATGTACAGGGAAGGCCTTAAAACATTTTATCAATAGTCTTTTCACCATCAGAAGCATGATTCTAACCTTCCACCTGGCCTTCACCATGAAGTTGGAAAAATTTATTTTTACACAGAGGGAGAAGAACTCCAGGGGAGGAATGACAGTTCACACTCGATAAAGAAAGGGGGTCAAGGATCCTGCAAGCCACTGATTCTCAGCTCTTTTCAAGTCCCTGCAACAAATAAAGACTGTATGGAAATTGCAGTGAAAAACTGCAAGAAGGAAAGGAAAGAAACACAGGGCCAAAAGAAGCTTCCATCATTAAAGCAACACGTCCTTGAGTCATCAGAGAACTTCTGATGGACCCCAATTACCCCTTTTCAAGCCCGGATCCTTCGGAAAAGGCCGGAGGAAGCAATAGGGAACCCAGGAGAATCACAAGAATCACCTTTTCAGTTAAGTGGCATTTTAACTGTTAATATTATTGGATTTTATCTGGTCAGGGCGGCTTATTTTATATTGGTATTTTTGTATTTTTAACCTAATGTTTATATTTTTTAATTTAATATTATAATTATTTTTTAACTTATTGTTGTAAGCCTCCCCGAGGCTTCGGCGAATGGGGCGGCATAAAAATGTTTTAATAAATAAATAAATAAAAATAAGTACCCAGTGGTGGCATCTGGCTCCATAAATGCCCCATCTGGAAGCATCTTTCCTCACACTGCTGCTGACATCACAACATCTCTGGAGCCAGGGTCAGACTGGATGGCCCGGGAGACCCCTTCTGACTCGCTCAGTTTCTACTCCTTGCATGCAAAACCCGAGCAGAGCACGATTCGAAAGGGGCAGCTGGCTTGCCTGACTCCCGGCATCTTTCTTTCCTTCTCTTACACTCAGCCTCATTCGGCCGATAAACATTTCCATGCTTACATTTGTGTGCTGTAGGGTGACTTCAGCAGAATCCGTTCCCCGGGTATGTGCCCAGCAGCTCCGATGCTTACAATGGACCACTGTGAACATGAACTAATTTGCAGATTAATTTATCAGATAATCCAGGGGTGAGTTTCACACAGAGATTAATCCTAATACTTAAAAAATCTCCTTTCGGGAACCAGCAGTCTTAATCCTTCATAAACAAGCAGTTGTCAGCTTGTGTCTGGCAAAGGCTACCGTTGCATTAAGAGCTTTGATGCTGAAAATATTCCATAGAATTGGTTTCTCCCATCCAGCTGCTATAGGAACGAAAGAAGACACACGCTGACAACGGCCTCACAAGATATCAGTACCAGGGAGCCTGGAACTGCTCGCCGCTCACTTTTAATGTAGCGCAGGCATAAGACCCCAGAAATAATGCCATCATTAGATACATCTGATCTGTTTTTATTATTATATTGTACACTGCCAGAGAGCCCTATGGGTCTGTGGAAGCAGCTTATAAGCCCCAAAATAAATGCATCTAAAATACATAAATAAAACTTGTGCCTGGAGTACATTTGCAGCCAGGGAAAAGCTATAGAAAAGGTTGGTTAACCATTCTGAAAAATGCAAATACAAGTTCTGTAAATGCCTTGCTGGGCATTTTTAACCAATGTTGCTAATTGGGTTTGCTGTTTTGGGGGGAGCGGAGGGAGGCAACCAACACACCTGTTTGCCATATTAAGAATACTTCTTCGCTCCTCCATGATAAATCTGGAAGCAGTAAGAATTCTCAGAGGAGTTTCTCAGCTGTAAGTACCTGCTGCCATTGGGAAGTACCTGCTACCTGTACTTACTACCGGCAGGGAAGGGGAGCAGAGCAGAGCAGAGCAGAGCAAAGCGCGCAGAGCAGAGCAGAGCAGAGCAGAGCTGTGTCAAAAGACTCTGCTAGTTTTGCATTCTCTTTGGGGAGAACCACAGTGAATTCCTCACCATTAGCACTTCTAATAGTTCCCCTTGTAGCCAATCCCAACTACATTCAATCACAGGGTTCACTGATGACTCGGTGCAGCTCTCGCTTCTGTCCTGGAGAAACTGTGAACCAAACGATAGCTTGTTCTCAGACAAGCAGGTGGGTCCTTCCCTTGCATTGCCCTCTTTCTCCAGCCCTTTCCTGTTACCTCCACCCAGCGCAGTTTTTCCTCCTAGTGTTAGTGAACATCCCGTAGCTGCCCAGGCATCACTGAGCCCTGTCTGGAGATCCCTCATAGGTTTTTGTTTTTAAAACTTTTTGCATCCCGGCAAACCTCAGGTTAGTCCATCTGTTGCTTTCTCACTTGCCTGAGCAGGTGATAAAATTTTAGCTACTTGAAGAGCACATGAAGTCTTGAATCAGAACTAGAAAGAATACCGGGGCCCCAAATTTCCTTTGACTGACAAGGAGTTCCAATTTAATTCTGGGCTCAAAAAAAGCCTGAGGAACTTTTAAATTGCTTCTCTCTTTGTAATGCTACGAAGAAATCAGGGAATCATAAAAACTACAGCACTCCAGAGAATCATTTTATGTGTGCTGCCATCCCTCTCAGCTAATGAACAATGGATTCGGTGAAGATTCCTACTTACTTTATTAAATGCATTCATTTCTTCTCCCATATGTTCATTGTACATATAAATTCTACTTTTGTGTTATTCTTTATATTTTATGAGTTAGCAAATGTTTGTTCTGGGGCTAATTGGAAGTGTTTTTCATTATACCTAGTCATTTATTTGCAAAAATATTGTTTGTTGTCTTTGCTTAATTTTTGGATAGCTTGAAAATTCTAGTCCCATTAGGATTCCAAACTGGTTACAATTACATTTGCAGCAATCATCCTTAATACCTTTATTTTTTGAATACATTAATAATATCATCATGGCAACCATGTTGGCAGAGAAGAATTTACAGTACTCAATATTCTACCATTTTTCCATTTCATTTCATCATCTCTTTCCCTTTCATTTATTTCATTTCTGCTCCACCCAATAAGCCAAAGCCATCAGGCATGTAACAAAACTGCAACACAAACAATGCAACTAAATAAAAAATAATTTTAAAATCCTTAATACAGATTTTTTTAAAAAAGTAACATGGATAAAACCCAGCTGCAACAAAATACTTGGATATGGCAAAAAAAACAACAATAACAACAACCGACTGAAATTTAAAACTCCATCATGTGCGATAAAATGCCAGAAGGGAGGGGAAAGTCTTAACCTGGCATACAAAGACGACAAGGTTTATTTACTTATTTATACATGTATTCGTAGGCCAGCTATAACTGCCAAGGCCTTCCACGGCACCAGGCAGACTGCAATGGCAGTGATATGCCACTAGGGGGCTGGGGATGAAGCTGGGGGCCACCACAGGGAAGGCCCCGTCCTTTGCTGCCATGCTTTGGGCCTGCCTCAGGTAAGATGACCAGCTCATAGCCTGCTTGGAAACAAGTCTCACTGTCTTCAAACATCCTTTCCTTCTATGTAAAACTATAATCCTAAATTTATTTTCCAGTAAGCATGTCCGACAAAATCAACAAGCATATAAAGTTACAGCCAGAATATTCACAATAGACACAGGCAGTGTCCGGGTGCAAGCATGTTCAGGACCAATGAACAGGGCAGACACAGATCAAGCGTTCCTAGGGAGATCAGGGGTCAAACTACTCCTTTTCAAACCACTCCTATTTTAAATGCCAAGCCTCTAGCAAGGCTGCAAGGAATTGATCTGCTTAGATGATACTGCGCTTTGCAAGACAGGTGTGACGTACAGCACCAGAGAGTCTGTGCAAGCACACGGTTTCAGTGCTTTAGTCAGTTGTGCAAACTGGACTGCACCCTCTCTTTGACTGATATAATTGCATATGGTATGTGTTTGTGTGCGCACACACGCAGGGCCCACAAAAACCTTAGCAGCAGAGTTAAGAATTTAGAACAAACAGATCAATCAAAGCAGCTATTGTGGCATGCAACTTCCTAGTTTTAGAGGAATTAACCTTTTTCGATTATTGTTGCATGTTGCTTTTTATTTTCCTTGCAGCAAGCAAACGAACGCGCGCACTCGAATGACAACAAGTGAAAGACAATATTGTCATTGTCGCATAGTCCTCGATTAATTAATTTCAGGAGCGACTGTTGCGATGCACTGTGGAAAACTTTGCTGGGTCAGGACAAAAGCACATTCAGCTTCCCAAAGGAGCTTGGCAGACGTTTCTAGGATGTCCACCAGTAAACTATATAAAGGGAACAGCCATCCCTGCATCTGGAATTCTGCCTCTGAATACTAAGTGCTTATCTAGGTGTTTGTCTCTGTACCTCGGCCAAAAAACCCTCCCGGGTATTTTGCACATGATCCCGCAAACTCTCCCCATGGATTTACAGTCCAAAAGAGAAAGCACAAAAAAACCCCAAAGGCGGAGGCTTGGGGAACGCTGGCTCTGGCCCTCGCTGCCCCCTCGTTTCTCTCAGCACAGCTGGCGGGGGGGAAGGATGAGCAAGAGGGAAGCCGTTCGGAATGGCTGGTCCTCCATTCTTAGTCAGCCGCCACGGCAGTGGCTAAGAGCCACCGAGCGTCTCATTCGCCACACCTTCGTCCCAACGTCAGCTGCCGTCGCGTCTCGCGGCAGCGGATTCCACAGTGGGTTTGTTTCAGGTGGAAAAGTCTCGCTTTGCCTTGAACGGCTCGCCAACGGCACACCATGGTTTGAAAATAATAAACAAGGGGAGAGACTGCTTGGAGACTGGGGAAGTCACCGAATTAT